ATATTTTTATTATTATATATATTTATATATATATGCTACTTTTACTAACTACTCGGGTAGGTCTTAATATCGATTATATAGTATTAATATATATATATATATATATATATATATATATATATTTATCTATCTTTATTATTATTATAAAACCCATTTATTATTATAAGTAATTATATATTATTTATATAATACTATTTACTTTATATTAAATAATACTTAATAGTATGAGTAATTAAAATAATAAAAATAAAAATATAATAATATATAGGTCTTAATTTCTTTATAATATTATAAACTAAATAGTTTTAAATAATAATATTAAAATATTATTTAAATCGTAATACGTATACTAAATACTAAATCTAATATATATTAAAATAATGTTAAATTATTTAAAACTTAAAAACATAACTAAAGTAATAATTATATTATATTATATTATTATTTAATTATTTTTATTAAGTATATTAATAAAAAGTATTATAAGCGAAATACTTAATATATAATTATAAAATATATTATATTATTAAATAACTATAACTTTGTTAAATATATATAATATATTTAATATATATATATATTATATTTAAACTTCAGTTTTTAGTTTTTATATTATATTATTATTAAGAATTGTTATAAAATAAGGAGGAATATAGTCTAAAGTAATTCGGAATCGATTCTAAACTATTTTTAAAATCTTTATTATAGTTCTTATAACCGTAATCTCCTTTTTTTAAACTCTAATTAGCTTATTTCTAAACGTAGCTCCTTTTTTTAAATATTTAATAAAGTATAACGCTTAGTAATATCCTTATTTTAACTTTAAATAACGTCGTTTTATAAATTTATTATAAATATACGACGTAAATCTTAATAAATAATACAAAAAAAGTTACTTAGGAAAGACCTCGTAATCTATTTAAAAAGAGTTCTAAAGGGCTTAGGGATAGATTTTATACTCTTTATTATACCTACGACTAATTCTAAGACCTTAATTAGCTACGTAAACTTATATTAAAAAGTACTAGACTTAAAGAATTACAAAATAATAATTTAATAAATTACTAATAAGCCCCTATATCCTATTTATATAGAGCTAGTTCTTATTATTCTAAATAACGTTAACGTTTTACTCCTAAACTAGTTTAGAATTAGTTCTAAATTTAGTTATAAATAGTTCTAAGGGGTTTATACTTAAATAACTAGCTAAAGTACAATATTTTTTAATAATAAATATATCTTACTAAGTAAAGCAAATACCTAATTTTAAAAAAATTATATCTTATTTAAAAAAGTATTTATTATATTCCCTAAATCTAAATATAATAATTAGTTTTAAATTAGTTTTAAAAAGATTCCGACCTATTTTTAAATATAAATTAATAATAGGACGAAACGATTACTTTATATATATAAAGCTTAATAGAGGGCTTTTATAATATTAGTATAAGTATAAAACTTATCTTAATTTTTAAAAAGTATTTATAAATAAGTCTAATTAAGTTTAGCTATAATATTCCTCTAGGATTTATATTAAGCTTAAAATAAGATTAATAAATTACTTAGTATCGATTCCGAATTAGTTATAAACCTTTTCTAAATAAGTTCCGAATTACTTTACCTCGTAATTAACTATATAATAAAAAGTAGTCCTCTTTTAATTAATAGAGTAAAATACTCCTTATTTAATTCTATTTTAAGTCTAGGGAGCGATCTTTTAGAACGTATTTTTTAATATTATAATAAAAGTAGACTAAGTAAAATTGAATATATCTTTTAACTTACTATTCTTAGGGGCGATATTATAGATCGTAATTAAGTAATAAATATTAACCGAACCCTTTTTAAATTAGTTTTAAACTAATTTTAAACTTTATATAAAAGGATTTTATAAACTTACTTATTAAGTTCTTATAATCTTAGTTAATAATAATACTTAATAACCCCTAGTTATGTTTAAAAAAATATTTTTACTAAATAATATACCCAAAACGCTTTTTAAGAATTTAAAAAATAAGTTAGTATATCCTTTAGTATATCTTAGTACTCTTTATATTTATAAAGACTTAGAGGAGTAAAATAGCTATTTAAAAAGTTAGTAAATAGTTTAGAAATGTTTTAGAATAGATTTAGAATCGCTTTAGAACCTTTTTAAGAAACTTCGTTATATTAGCCCTAAATAACCTTAACTTTATTATAGCCCTTAATATGCTTATAATTTATATTTAATTAGAAAGTTAAAAAAGTATTCTTTTTTTAAAGTTTAGCTTACTCTAAATAGAAAGTAATATAAATATAATTATACTTATTATTATCAAAATATTAAATATACTAAAAAGAAATTAGAATAAGTTCGGAGTCGATTCGAAAATAGTTCTTAACGTTTTATAAAATACTTATATTAATATAATAACGGGCTTATGTATATTAATACTCGTTTTATATAGCTAAGTAAGATAACCTAATTAGAAAATAAAAAGCTTCTTATATTTATATAATATTTATAAGCTAATCGGTATTACTAAGGGTACTATAAATCTTTATAATAGTCTGACTATAGAATTTATTATAAAGCTTAGTAAGCTCCTTTAATTATAAGAATATATCTAAAAATAATTAAAAACTAATTTTAAATATATTCAGAACGTTTTCCTTACTTAATCCGCTTTTTAGTTAACTAATCTTTTTTATAATATTCCGAAGTTCTAAATAAATATTCTTAGGTATTTAAGTAGGTAGTAGAGGGGGGTACTTATAGGTACTATAAGAAGTTAAAATAATTACTAGTTTTATAGTAATATTAACTAGTACCTAATAGTTCTATTTTACTAAATATAATATTTAGAGAATTTCTTCTAAGATAACATAATTTATATCTAAATTATATTAGAATTACTTCGGAATATATTTAGAATAGATTTAGAACTAGCTTATTATAATATCGTAATTTTTACTTATTACTTATAAAAAGGTAATACTTATCTCTTCTTATTATATTAACCTCTTCTCCCTATAATATAGAGCGTATTAAAAATAAATAAGCTTAGTATTTAATTAAAAAAAATCTAATATAATAGTTTTCGCTATTACTATATAAATTCCTATAAATACACTATATAGTAAGTAATTAAGTACTAAGAATATATTAAAAAGATTCGGAATTAGTTTTAAATAGGTTACGAATCGGTTTAGGAAAATATATATATACTATATTAATTATTAATAACCTCTATATTACAATCTTTATAAAATAGGGTATAAAAAGTACTTATTTCGAATTATTTAAGCTATGCCTTTACCTACTTATAAAAATAATTAATAAGGACTACTTCTAAACTAGTTCGGAATCGATTTAAAAAACTTATATAATTACTCTTTTTTTTAATAATATCCTATAGATACGTTTACGTATAAAGGTAATATCCTTAGCTATATTTTTTATAACTTAAGTATAGTTCTAATAAAGTAAAGTTTAGTTAAAATATAAATACGCTTTATTACTAGTATAATAATACGTAAAGCGTTTATAAACTTAATTTTATAAAAAGGTAAATATAATAGTTTTTAAAAATACTAAACGAGTATTATTATATTAAAACTATTAAGTTTAGAATTAGTTTAAAAATAGTTTAGAACGACTTTAAAAAGTATTATATACCGTTCTTTATAACGCTTTAATATCCTTTAAATATAAACTACGTATATTAATATAATATATAATACCTTTTTTACTTATTTTTAAATACTATATTAATTAACTATAGTATATAATCTTTTATATTATAATTCGGTAATTATTTCGTTAGTTCTAATACCTACTTATAATAGCTTTAGTAAAAATTAAAATAGGTAATACTTTAAAAGTTTTATTAAAAGGGTTCTAAACCTATTTAGAATAGATTTAAAAATAGTTTAAAAAAAGTCTTACCTCTTCTTATTTAAATAGACTACTATTTTTATAAAATTCTTAAAATATATTAAGATTATTTTATATTTATTAATTAAGGTAATAAGGGTTAAAAAGTAGTATTAGTAATTTAAGTTCGGGGAAAATACCCGTATTATTTAGCGAATTTATTAAAGCTATTTTAAATAGGTTTCGAATTAGTCCTAAACCGATTCGGAACTATTTTAGTATAATTATAATTTCTATTTAAAGTATATAAAAAAAGAAGTTAAAAAAATTCTATTTTAGTATATAGCCCGTAACCTGACCTATAGTGTACGGATAAAAAGTTAAAAATATGTAGGGTAGTTAGCTAACCCCCCCCCCCCCCCATAGGTCAGTTTACCTGTGTTTACCAGACGATCCGCCAGCTGGCGGCCATTTCGTCCGATCCGAAGACGTGGATGGCCCTGGCGGGACGTTGTTGCGCCGGCGGCACGACAGCACGAGCCCCCCGGGAGGCGCAGCGCCGAGCGAGGGCTGAGCAGGGGGGAAACGCGGCCGCGTTTTTCAGACGGGACGGGGGATTGGTATCAACTGCAGACAGCAAGAGACGAGAGTCTGCATGGCGGTCATCGCGCGGGTGACGGGGCAGCGGGTGAGACCGGGGTTGGTTTCTCTAGAGAGCTCTTGGTATGTGCCAATGAAGTAATGGCACACTACGAGACTGTACGACCCTTTCACATGCTAGTTTGAAGATGGGGACTGAGGGCCTCTTATCTCAAAAGAAGCAGCGTTCCCAACCCCTCCCTCGACAGAATCGGTCTCGAGTGTGTTCTGTTCCTTGTTACTTTACGTTGATCTATCTAGCCTCTTATTGTTTCTGTCACCCAACTCCACTGATTTGCTGAAGCTTCTTGGACGTGCCCAGTGTCGACTGAAACGGCGCTGAAACAACTGCTCCTGGCAGAGTCAAGACATTTGGCCATTTCATGAGCCTCCAGCCATTCCATATCTCATTAATAACAACGACAACAACAAAGAGCGATACTTTAGAAGAGAAACAAATACGGGAGACGAACTTTAGACGGGAATCATACAATCACACGGCAAAATGGATACAAAATCATTCTCATCACGGATCAGTGATCTTGTCAAGGTAAGCAGCACCGCATTCCATAACGACTGGTTGCCCATCAGCAAGGGCTCCACCACATGATTCAAGCACTCTCAAAAGAAGCAAAGCCGCTAACAACAAACCGCTCTAGTTCCTTTCCTCTGTCCAGGGAGACCTCTCAAATGTCACCGCGCCGCCCTCTTTCTTGGCGCCATCGTCAGTGGTCGAAGTCGGCCACTGCTGGTGCCAGCGGCCAGGCGTCTTCGTCGCCCCGGCACTGGAATCAGACCCGGAGAAGCGCAGCTTGAAGGTGCTGCGCATGATCCTCATCGCCATGCGCAGCCAGTTCTACGTCGCCGGCGCGCCAAACGTCAGCATCAAGAAGCCACTGAACGCGTTTCTGGGTGAGCTGTTCCTCGCTTCGTGGACGGATTCCGATCGGAAGGCGAGGACGGAGCTCGTGGCGGAGCAGGTTAGCCACCACCCGCCCATCACGGCGATGCACATGGGCAGCAAGGAGCATGGTATTCGCGCGGACGGGTATGCGCGGGTGGAGATGACCTTTTCGAGTACTGTGAACATTCGACAGATTGGGCACGCCGTGGTTCACATTGACCGATATGACGAGGATTACCTGATTCCGTTGCCAGAGGTCAAGGTTCGGGGATTCCTCAACGCGTGTCTTTACCCAGAGGTTTTGGGAACATATTACATTGTTTCCAATACGGGCTACATTTCAGAGATCAAATTCTCGGGCAGCGGGTTCCTTAGAGGCAAGAAGAACTCATTCGAGGCGCGGATGTACCACAAGAACGACAAGAAGAACACAATCTACGAGCTTCAAGGATGCTGGAGCGAAGGCTGGACAGTCAAGGATGGAAGGACAGGGGAAATTCTCGAAAAGTACGAGGTCGACGCGTTGGAGAACCTCCCAGCGCCGATGGAAATGGAGCCGATTGCGACCCAAGATCCGTGGGAGTCTAGACGCGCGTGGAACGGCGTCATTCAAGGGCTCAGTAAGAATGACTTCCGCGAGACGGTCAGCGCAAAGAGTCAGGTTGAGGAGGCGCAGCGGCGGATGAGGGCGGAAGAGAAGAAGAAGGGCGAGACATGGGAGCCGTTGTTCTTCAAGAGTATTCCTGGGGAGGAGCACGAGGTTTTCCATCGGTTGGCAAAGGGCGTTAATTGGGAATTACATGACAAGCATACCAAAGGCGTTTGGAAGATTGATGATTCAAAGAGGGACTCGGTGCAACGGCCGTTCAGAGGAGAATCGACACCACTGGGTTAAAGGAATATTGCCTAGATTTAAATTTGATGCATTATGACTATTTGACTAAAATACTTGTGTAACATATCTGTTGTTATCTTTGAAACTTCCTCCTGCTATTCAGGTCGAGAACGCTGCTTCTATAAGCCTCGTTAGCTTATCACGCCAGACAAATTGTTCCGTGGAGGTGATGAAGTAGTCGTAGAATCTGGCATATCAGGTTTAATCTGAGTCTGGCGGCGACTTCGGCCACATATCCCAGTCCACCACATCTTCCCACCTCAACGGACTTTCGTCTTCATCCTCCCATTCTTCCCCAGACGCCGCACTCCTCACAAAAGCGATTTGCCTGGAGGGTACAGGAGACGACGCATTACCGGCTTGTGGCTTTCTTCCCCCATTCTTCTTCTTCCCCTTTCCCTTCTCTGAAAAGAAGGACTTCCTCGTTCTTTGAGCCCAAGTTTTCAACTGGTCCGGATTCTGGGCGCAGAATAACACCAATTCCCTGGTCGCCAGACAATCCTCCAGATCATCGTGTGCTACACCCTCAGCCGCCCAGGTCGGAGAACGTATCTGGATACCGAGAAGCGCCTTGCACAGCGCCTCCAAGCCCCACCTCTTCGTAATCTTCGATTTCGACCCGAGGACGGCATCTGCAGTGATGATGGCGGAATCAATGATTCTCGCATGGGAGGTGTGTAGCACCCGCAGGTCATTGCGGACTGACTGTCCGATGAGAATCGTGTCCTTGTCAGAGTAGCGCCATAGTTCCGCGCGCGCGGCCTCCCAGCCGTCCAAAGCTTCATTTCGTAAAAGAGCTGCGGACATCTTGGTCGCATTGAGACCAGTGACGTCTTCACGCCAGTCTAAGATGGGTCTTCTTGGATTTACAAGCCGGCGGCTCAGCAACACATTGCCCGTAAGGAAGTCGAGAATAGTGATCTGGATCAGTTCGTTTTCGCCTCGTTCGGTACCGCCCATCTCGCAGTCTATGACGAGAGCGGCATACTTTGGATTGGATTGGATTTTATCAGGACAGGGTAGATCAACTGTCGACGCCATGCTGGACGAGCCGTGCGTGGCATTGACCATTGTGGTCGGTAGAGTATATCTTTCCTTTCGGAGTCTCTCCTCTGAGTGACAGAGGTCCGAGATTTGGTTCCAAATAGCGTTTCGTCCGACTGCTGGCGAGTACATGTTGCCCCTGTATATGGTGTGCATAGGCGTAGTAGTTTCGATAGCCCTGACTGGCTGGGTCACGAGCAGCTCAGGGGTCCCAGGTTTTTTGGCTCTGGTTGGCAGATATACTACCAACGGACGTGGGCGGACAGGTTCGGCGGCTCTGGCTGGCTGGGTAACAACCGGAAGAGGTTGTACAAGTCCGGCGATTCTAGTCGATTGAGCAGAAATCTCATCAGAGTGTTTTGCGCGCCTATGTTGTCGCTGACCTTCTTTGGTACTGAATCGTTCCTTGCAGATGGCACATTGGTGCTTTCTCTCTTTTTGATAGGGCGGCATAATCAGGAATTCAGTTGAGGACTGTGAAAAAGGAGAGGAAGAGCAATGAATACCCCGGGGGAAACAAATGTTTATCATTAGTGTATTTATAACTGGAAACCCTGGGTACATTCACGTGGTCTAGATCGGTCACGAGTTGGTTGCGTGAAAAGTTGGCGGCCTGCGACATGATCTCTGTTGGTGCAAGATCGGCTTGATCGACTGCGTGATTGGGCTCCCTTTTTTTGTGATCGAAACACTTCTGCAGGAAGCCAACTGCTCATGTCTCACTTGTTGTGTCGTGATTCTAGTGAGTCGACCGTCTCCAAGGTTTCTTAGATCTTGCTGATCTATCTTCACAGGGACTCCGCTACCGGGTACAGGCACTGTCAACTCAGGGAACTATTGCAACTTCTCATACGAACCTGTTAACTTCGATGGAAGCGCCCGTTATTGTCATAAATAAGCGACGGAAAGAAATATCAAGATATGAAGACTGCCAAGTGATGTTGGAAGCGTTCGTGCAGAGCAACTGCATGTGTCCGAATTTGGCATCTCGAACAAACCAAAAGGGCTTTGCCACGAATCTCTGCGCTAACCTGTGCCAACTAGATGAAAGCTCATGCGTCTGATCAATGCTGCTTATTCACTACTTTGGGTGTCTTGCATGTCTTTGGAAATACGTCGTAGTATGCGCATAGCTGCCTGACTTCCTCTTGGCTTTGCTGCGGTACGCGAGTTGGATTGTTGATACTTTTCCCGCCTAGCTAATACGATAATGCCGCCAGTCAAGCCCGTGAGGGTATTCAGTCGGAAGCGGAGTTATGCCGAATGCATCCGATGGCGATGTGTCATATGAGATAATCACGTCGATTAAGAGTGCATGTACTCCTCAACGTCGCTAATATATCTCCACTGTTCCTCCCTTCTATAGAGATGGAAACACCTCGATAAGGGCAAGGCTTTAACGTTTACTATTCGAAGGCTCCAGTCAAGAAAAACAATTTCCATGGCGCTATGTGCACAAAAGGCATCATCAAGCGATTTCGTTTCGATTCCGTCACCCCACCTTGCGAATCTTCATACTCCTATAGAGAATAGTCTTTCAAAAAGACCCTTCAATACCTTTACTGGGCGATACGATCTAATACACTGAGTTGAGCCTAGGTCCTCTATACCTCTTGTTTGCGTACCCAAACCAATTCGCGACAGAAAAGAGACCCATAACCCCGAGAACCACGCAAGCATAATCTGCCTTTGAATTAGCAAGGAATGGCTGTACAGTCGTAATGGAACAGTTAGCTCACTCATATTCGAAGCCGAGACAGGCATAACAACGGGAAAGTTATAGAACACCAGCGCCAACAGTCCCAAGACAATCGTCAAAATGTTGGCAGCGGCACCAATGAGGGGTGGCATGTTAAACTTTCGCCGCGGCAGTACTCGACGGAAAGCCGCCTCTCCTTGTGACCGTTGATATAGAGCTAGGGCGGCTGGAAAGGCAAAGCTCACTTGCTGTAGAATTAGGCCGGTAGCGACAAGAGCATTGAAAGCCGTCGAAGACGCTAGAAATAAGCAACCGAGAGCGAAGATGAGTGCCCAGTTGACGAGAAGTGCGTTGACTGGCACGCCCATTTTAGGGTGGATCTTGCAAAGGAATGGGGAGAATACAATGGCATTATCACGAGCGAATGCCCAAGTGAGTCGACTGGCCGTCTGTAGTGCTCCCGTACAAGCGAAGCATCCGCAAGAAGAGAGTACAATCACGAACGTTGTTGCTGCTGCGCTGGATCCAGTTGCCTGCGACCAAATCTCGAGAATAGGCAGCCTAGTGTAAGGTCATGTCAGCTCTGCAAACTTCCTATGCCTGCAACACAGATTACTGCCTCGCGTGACTTGAAGCTAGGTGTTACTGATTCGGGCCTAGACACTTAGGTTCAGAGAAAATGGGGGCATACGGTGATGAGAGCACAGGCTCAAGATCTGTGAAGCTGTACAGCATAGCTACGCTGAATGTAAAAGCAGAAACAAACCCGATAGTTATCGTCGATATAAGTGCTTTGGGTATCGCAGATGAAGCATTGGTGCATTCCTCGGCCAAGTGTATGGCGCCATCGAGGCCGGAGTAGATGAAGTTAGGGTTGAGTAGACCAGTCAGAAAGACTATGCCCTTTGACGACCAACCACTCTCATTAACGAACGTGGTCCACACAAAAGAATCCTTCTGTTTCTGTCCCGAGCGCGCCAAGCATGTGACCGTTATTACGAAGAAGCCCGTCAAAGAAAGAAAAACTATGAGATCAGGTAGTCAGCCCTTACACCGTCTTGGGATGGTCTGCGAGATGCAGTAATTAACAACAGTGCCTACAGCCAATATCGTGGACCCAAGCTGTCCTTTTCATCAGGAAAATATTGTACGCTGTAAACGCGATATTGAATGCCTGGAAGACTAGAAAGATGTGCCATGTTTCTGGGATATACGTAGGATCGAGGTACGATGCGAGCGAAAGAATGATGACTGGCATTTGAATGATGAAGCCCGCTCCATTGGCAATCCAACCTAGGAAGTTGATACTGCCGCAACAATAGCTCTAAAACATTGCACACGTCAGCAACAGACGGAAATTGAGCCACAAAAAGTCTTACCAGTCCACGGCTGTACCGTTTGGGTGCTAGGATGCTGGTCCAGTGGTATTGTCCCCCGGCGGTAGGATAGACGGATGCGATCTCAGCCATGCTCAACGCACATGCGCCTCCTAACACGAAAATGAGGACGATGCCATAGAGCAGGGTGACGGGCCCTCCAGAGCTGATTGAAATCACTAGCGTGGCTGCAATTGCGGACCAGCTGTTGCAGATGTTCCATCCTAATCCAACGATAGCCAAAGGCCCAATGTCTCGTTTCGCCAGCGACTGGAGCCCTAGGCGAGACAGGTCGGCGTCTTCGGCAGAAGTAGTAGGAGTTGAGGCATCTGCCAATGCGAAAATTTCCCGTAAGATTAGTCGAATGCCTGTTTTCAAGACGATTCCGAAAAATGACGAACCTTGTTCAACTTTGCCATGCTCCATTGACTTTCCAGTCGAGTTTTCTTTAGGTGCGACGCGTCTAGGGGAGGGTGTAGGCAACGTCATGATGTCTCTATCACGGCCGTCTATCTTGCATGGATCCAAATCGCAACGAAAACAGACAAAACCACAAGTTTCACCGATCGTACGAACACGTATCTTAAGCAGTTTTGGAGTTCGAATAACGGTGATTTATGCGAGCAGCTCGTATAAGGATCCTTGCTACGGTACAAGTCGAGACTGAGACAAAGCGGCAAGTGGTATTTTCCCCGTCACACTGCAGACTCAAATGCAGTCAGCGTCGTGCTTCGCTTGCACGCCCGAAGCTCGTCGCGCTCTGATTCGCGCACTGCAAGACAACAACCGCGGCTCAGATCATCCGCAGCTAGTGTGATGCACAAACAGAGTCACAAACAGTAGGCATGGCACCAGACGTGCAGGAATTCATTTAGCCTTCTTGGTATCACAAGGATTATGTCTCTGTCGAGGAGAAGAAGAAACTCGAGGAGGTCGCCAAAATTGCTTGGTCAATTCAGACAAGACTTGTTCACGGGCATGTTGTTGTATGCACATTGGTCTTCGTGCTCGCCATCATCTCAATGTCGGTGAAATGACCATGTCTTCCGGTGCGGTGTGAATTCGATTCCTCAGGGCATGTAAGCAAAGATTATCCATTGCGAGATACGTTTACACCTTTAGCAGCTATGTGGTGTATCTCAAGGTACAGTAAATCCTCGTAAACCGATGGATGTGTCCTCAACGTTGATCGACGGAATATCAATACATAAGGTGATTTACATGAGAGACGAAACGATCGTAGCAACTAGCAAGCCAACAAAAAGACCCGCGAACGACGATCTGTGTTGAGTCGATGAACTTGGTCTATTTCCGAAGCTTTCGGGCGACCGGCTTCCAGCAGTAACGTCATTGGCGCGAACGCAGCGGAAGACCGTGTAGTTTGAAACCGCGCTCCCTTCAGTATAAATGTAAGAGAGCATTACGGGCCAGACCTGTGTCACCGCGTAGTCATAGACCTGTCTGGTATTACTATCGTTGCCGGGAATGTTGTAGGGTGCAGTTGACTGAAATAGCGTGTGCGAAGAGGCCGAGGCGTTTGAGATGAACTCCGTTGTGAGGTTTCCTTAGATTCTGGGTTAACATCCTTGCGTCAATTGGCATTCAAGGAGTCACTTACTTCTTTCTGCCGTTGTATAAGCCATTGAGTCGCTACAGCTCGCCGGAATGTCGAATCCGATGCCGTACAGCGAAGACTCCAAAGAACTATCGCACTGGACCTTCGCTGCAGTTTCTTTAAGATCGTCGATACAATTTTGTGGGATGACGCCACCACATGAGCCTTGGATATCATCATTGAGCTTCTTGATCTTGTTCTCAGTCCAGCTCATCTGCCACCAAATATATGAGCAGATACGGTACCCGTCAGTTGCGTTTCCTCTCTCGACCGGATTGTTTGAGGAGTCAAGACTGATTTTTGACGGGTTCGAATTGCTCACAGTTCCCCCACTAACGTTTGTGGCAACTGCAACGTCAATGCTCCACCCGTTTCCGTGGCCGAATTCATTGTTTGTTGGAGTCTCTGCAAGTGGCTTCGACACATCGATGCCGAAGATTGGCCAGCTTCCCGTGGCATTTGGATTCAAAAGGCTCTCCGTCAAGATGGAGGAGCTATTCTGTTCCACAGTATCGGCACGTGGCCTGAGATAGGAAACTTGGGACTTGGGTGCATAGCTCCCGTTGACTAGGCTAAGCAACCAGAGGATGACGAGAGAGTTTGTGACATATGCCATATTTCGAACCGACCTAGGAACTGGGAATTTCTGGGAGCAACTCAAAAGTGGCTGTGAGACAAATTTCGAGACGATTCCAGACTTTCACCATGGGGATAAGTACCTACTCAAACATATGTGGCGGATACCCTTCGCCATGAATCTACTCTCGTCTAAGTCAAATGACATGGGCCAAGGTGCCGCACCTCTCACTCGCGAGACAGTAGTGAGCGGCAAAATTGCCGCTCAGGCGAGCAAGAAAAAAAAAGCCAAGCTCTGATCATGTTGACGCTCTCATGATTGGGTGCTAGCGTTCAAAGGATTTTAGCATCCCTTCGGTTGCACTATCGTTCGTCGCTAGCCGTTAAAGAGCTAAATGGAATGACATTCTTCCCTGTACTTTGTCAAAGAAAAATCCACGCCTACGTCACTCGAAGGGTTTGGGCTCGGTAGTGTAAATCCGAGGTCTATCATACAAGAGGAAAGATGGTAGATTGTATGTAGTCATCTTCGTGGAGACATCCGTGTTCTCCCTTGCAACCTAGGTACAGATGGTGGATGCATCAACACCAATCTTTTCTCCATAAGCCACACACATCCAAACCCACCTATTCTTCATTCGTTCTTTTTCATCCAGTCCATCAACTCCGACCAGTCAATACACTGATGTTCCGTGTCGAAACCCGTGACGCCGTCCACTACGACGTTGGCAACCTCAATCGTGAGATCCTGTCCAAACATTGTTAGCACTCACCAACAAAAGTCATTCCAGTCAGAAGAGTGTACTAACAGGTCTGCACATTATAACTTGACGCAGGAGGTCAAAGCAGTGTCCGAGATGATCCATGTCGTGCGATGCATTGAGCTCCCCCGCCTCGCTTGCATAAATCTTTTCGTTGCTGAAATCCGTGTCCATCTTCTCGTGCTCTCGATGTTCCATTGTATTATTACGTACCTCGTAAAGTGCTTTTCGTAGCATATCCAGGCAGTGAATTTGATGGAAAACCGCCACGCAGCTCTCCGTTGGCGCCAGTGTCGGGTGCGTGAAGAAGCCGCCGTTTTGCGGGAGAAGGGAAGACCACGCAGCATCCACCTCGGGCGACGGTGGCATTGCGTAAGCGTAGTCTTGCTGGAAGACTCGTGTAGACGTTTTCACTATTGCTCACCCTCAGCTCCATTCATGCTTTTCCATGGCAACTCGCATTTACTTACGACGAATCTCCGACCTGAGTGGCTCGGCTCCAAAGTAGACGGGCCGTGTCATGAGAATTGGCGGCAAGCAATTGCTGACGCCAGCCACGAAGACCAACAGGAGAACATACGTGAGGTGCAGCTTTCCACGGGCCAAATGTTGCTTGGACCAATTTTTCGTACTCTCAGTGCTGTCCTCTCCCTGCCCGAGCTTGGTGTATGACGAAAAAGAGGCCATCATCTCTTCACAACGTCGCAACGTGAGACATACTCAATAATGGGCTTGACAGCATAAGAGTAGCCAGCCTTTCAGCTTGAATGAACAACAGAACACCTCCCGATAGCGAGGACGGAGAGCTGGAGATGTGCGGGAGTGTGTTCGACTCTCCTCCTCAGTCGGTATGGGAAGAAAGTTGAGAGCCAGCGCTTCTTTAGTACTTGCATGACCCGTGTCAACATCCCTCGTTCCCTGTTAACTGCGTCACACTGGAATTGAAACTGTCGGAGCTCACTCCCGTCTCACCGGTATGTAAGCTTTTTCATCAATAAACTCAAAAGACTCCCGGTACCTTAGTTCAGATGGTTACGAATCACAGCAGGAGACACGTGGAACTCTCCCTGAGCGATGCTGGCATGCACCCCTTAGGCTTAGTACGTTGAGAAAAACCTAGTGAAGGAAATACATTTCCGACGCGAAACCCAGGCTACCTGATGCGGCATGAGATCCGGAGAATAAACCTCCAGGCACTGCATCTATTGACTCCACGATCAACTCAGGCATAAAGCTACTTCCATTACCCACAAGAGGTTTTCGTGTGCGGAAAATAATCAAGCCTGAGACGGTATATAGTGCAACTTAGTAGAACATATTTAAGCGGTGAATGAAGGGGTATAGAATAATGAGTAGTTGAACGTAAGTTGAAGTCTCGCCAATGATCCTTCTATTTGTCAAGCTCAGCCTATGCCCGTGCGAATTCCTGAAGACACAATGAACATGATTAGTGTCAGTCGTTGACAACCTAGTAAATCACCGACTTGCGTTTAAGCAAGCGCTCAAGTTTGAGTCAAAAACGAAAAAGCTTGTGGCTCGATGTCTCCCAGTTGGATTTCGAGGTTCACGAATGGGAACCGCGCTTCAATTAGCCAGCTAACAATGTTCAAAGGATTGAAATAGGTGAATCCTTTGGATGCATTGATAAACTTCCGCTCTACGTGCAACTACTCTAAATTACAGGAGCATAGTGAGCGAGAAGGGTAGAAGCATGCTAATCATTGCAGAGGCTTTTGACGAATGGACCCGTCCTGCAGAGCTTCTTCTGTTGCTTCCATACGAATCTGGCTCACGGCTTCCGTCTACAATGTTGTTAGCACGAATGCATCGGAATACGCTATAATTCGTCCGAGTCCCTCCGTCTTCATAATTGTATGCAAGAAGCACGGGGTAGACATTCGTAAGAGCCGTGTCGTACGCATCGCGTAGGCCAGCTTCCGATCTATTCGAATAAGGTCCCCAGATGCCGAAAAGATGAGAAGAGGAGCTTTCATTCGTCGAAGGTCCGGTAGGCAAATCAAAAGTCACGTTTCCTGGCCAAGATTATTAGTCTCCGCTGTGAGGTCTGTCACGGTCAGTTGCAAGGGAGGTTAGCGACTTACTTCGGAATGACGAAGGGGATGAGAGTGCTTGAGGGCAGCTCTTAGGCTTTTCGAAGCTTCTGAAGGTGCTACACGGCTGGCGCACCAGGGCCTCTTTAGTCTCCTTGATGCACTCCTCGGAGATAACACCATTGCAGGTCCCGTTAACATCGTCTTGGAGCTTCTCCAATTCTTTGACGGTCCAGACGTTTTCAAACCAGGCAAAGGAACAGATGTCATAATTCTCAGTGTAGTTTGTCGTCGAGTTCAGGCCTTGAAATGCATTCTCCGGTCCTTCGAGACTTATGACTGCGGGATTCGATACTGAAGTGCTGATGCCGTCCGCAGAAATGTTGGTCGCAACGGCGATGTTGATGCTCCAACCATTTCCGGGGCCGTAGTCATCGGCAGGTGGATTCAGCAGTGGCTCCGTCACATCGATGCCATTGATAGGCCATGTTCCTGTGGCATTTGGGTGTGCTACTGCGTCGCGGATATTGATGCTAGTCGAATTACTTTGCCGCGCCTGTATGCGGTCAATTCGGGCGCTATCGGCTGTTGCCAGAAATGACAAGCCTGTCGCAAGGATGCCGATGAGAAACTTCATGTTGAGATTTCTCAACTCTTCTGAAAGTTTATGCAGTATTTTTGTTACGTAATTTTTGATGTTATTAGGGTATTCTCGTGGGCAAGATTCGAGAATCTCATGCAAGAAGCATCATTAGTAACTTAGAAAGAGAGCAGATCAAGTTGAAGCTTAAGGGCGCAGGAAGGCCAGTCACTTCTTATAAGCCACCTACTACTTCTGCCTTGACTTGAAGATCGCCAATATTGGGACTTTGGTATTCAGCAATGACGTACTTACGTTGGTGTTTATGGCAATTCTAGTGGTCAATCTCAGCGCTGGGTAAGACAGAAGGATTCATGCTTTGCGACGCGGTCTCTTGGCAGTCAGCATAGGTACCGAAGTACCTTTGAAATAGTTCCTAGAGAAAATGACTGTGCAGAATTCTTCTTTGAATCGAGGGTGTCAACTATGCCAGCTGGTTGCACCCAATGAATGGTCAAAGAGTTCAAAGGTTGGCTTGTGTAATCATCAACTATTCAATTTGAGAACAACTACATAGAGTAGCAACTACGCAGATGCCGTCTCATCCGATATCTTCTGTAACTGATCCTTCAATTCCTCTCCCGTTAGTTCGGCCAAAGTCAATATAGCCGACTCGACCGTACTCAGAGCAACAAGTGCGGCGCCATACGTGAGTTTCACCTCTCCAGTGCCGATCACAGCAGGGTGGTCTGAGAATTCCTGTCTTGTTGGAGAACTGGCCACCTCCACGCTCTTTCCCGCAGGAGCTTGAGAAAAGGCGTCGGCCCGGGCACTCTCACTCACCAAAAGGTCATGAGGCATTTGCGGAGCCGCTGCAGATTCAGCAACCTTGAAACCGCCCCTGTCGCCAGAGTTGTCAGGCTCCTCAAAGTTCATATTCTTGAAATTCCTCCGGTACCGAGGCATCTCTGCAGGCAACGGGAAGAATGGCAAAGGAGTTGGAGTTGGAGTTGCCGTCAGGGCCGCAGACTTCTCCCCCTCTGCTGAATGTTCCTTGATGTAACCGAACTCGAGAAGGTCCATGGCCCATTTGTATGCCTCGTATGTGTCCTTCATCTTGGGGTCGTTCCTACTGCCCTGGTGCAGAGCATCAAACATCAGGTAAAGTGCGCGTACAACACTCTCGAGCGCCCCAACAACCCAAGCGTGGTGCGCAGAAGCTGCTTCGCCGACGAAGTATAGCTGACCACCTGCGTTCGGCTTGGTGATGGCCGGGTACAGCTCACTGAACTGGCTAGGGCCGAAGTAGGCGAATGCTCCAGCCATTTGGGGATCATGGTACCAGTCGTAAGCGTGGTGCTCAACGTACTGCTCATTGAGCATCTCCAGGGTGGCAGCGAGTTTTTTCGTGTCGTTGTGGTCGTCAGTGTGGAGGAAGGCGAGATCTCGAAGCATGACTTCCTTCAGCTCGGCCTCTTCTTCGAGAATGCGATTGTTAGTTGCCTCGTCAAGCTTGCCGCGCGGCTTCGATGCAATCAGACTAGCTAGGCGCTGGGCTGTCTGCCCCCAGGTGTAGGAGACAAGCAGAACAGCAGGCTTGTCTCGTGGGTCGACCTCCTCATTGATATTGTAGGAAGGGTACACGCAGACCTGTGGAGCCAGATCCGTACGGGCAAGGCCGCCTTGGTCGATGTCGTACGGCGCCTCCTGCCACCACGGGGTCTTGAACTTTATGCCGACCTTGCAGGAAGCGCCATATCCCAGGCAGCGAATGGCTTGCTTGGTATCCCAGAGCAGACCAGCCTTGGAGAGGTCCATTCGGTTCATCGATCCCAACGTTGCCGAACTGAACACCGTGAAGTAGTCTCTTGAAGGCAGTGAGTTACGGCTGATACTGTCCTTGAGCATCACGGTCATGGACGTGGTCACTTGCTCGTTGATTTGCAAGTTAGCATTCATTCCCACAACCTGGGTATTGAACCTGATAGCCGATTGGTTCTTCATCTTCTTGCGCATCTCTTCAGCAATCTTTTGAGCGCCACCGTCGATGCAAAACCAATGGTCGTTGGTCTCTTCGATCTTTTTTTCATTGTCGGTGATGTAAAAGTCGATACTCTCCAGGACAGCCTCGGTCAGGCTTTGGTCGTACCATCCAGTGCCACTAGGATCAATGCAATTAGGCCCATCCATTCATGGTAACTTCGAGGTGCGGAATAGAGAGGAGTACTTACTAAGTGGCAGTCTCCAACCACTGAATGGTGTTGTAGCTCATGTTTGCGCCGTGGGGGATTTTATCACCGCCTTCGGCGAGGTCAAGGATTGGCCCCTTCCTTTCGGAAAGTGAGCATTTTGCATCAACTGACCGGAGAATCAGGAGGTACTCACGTTCGCAAGAATTGACGAACACTCATCTTATCACATTTCATCAGAATCTTCCAGAGCTTCTCCTCGGCTGCACGAGACATTGGTTTCTTCTTATCAATGTACTCATCGAGATACTTCTTGATGTATTTGATGAAACCTCCAATTGCTTTCTCAAAGAGGTCGCCTGGGCTCGTTTTCAGGAGGCTGGGTGGAAGGGTGAAACACTGTTAGCGATTCTGCTTAAGTCTACACCGATTCCATAACAGCTGGTGACTAACTTTTCTGGAATCTGCTTGTCTGGGGCAATGCCCACATTGAGTGCAAAAGGATCCGTCTCTGTCGAATCCTTCGGATATGGGTTGCCGACCTTGCGAACGTTGTTGAAGAGCGTTGGGCATTTATTCTTATCATCGCGCAGATAGTACTTGATCAGTCGTGGAGGATCGTTGACATGCGTGCGATCGCCCAATTTACCCTCTTTGATGCCCAGCATCTCGAAAAGGCTGAAGGTTCTAAAGTTTGTGTGT